GTTCAGCTTTGACTTCTTCCTTCAGTATGTAGGTGCCCATCAGCTGAAGAATGGATAACCTAACTATGGTACATGTACTACAATGGAATTCTATGCAACCCCAAAGAATAATGTGTAATCTGCAAAACACCGTATAACATGGATGAACTTGGAGGACATTATGCTGAGTGAAATAAGCCAATCACAGAAGGATGAATATTGTATAAGTCCATTATTATAAAAAGTCAAGGAAAGGTTTATATATGGAAGGAAATTTTCTTTGTTGGTTACTAGGGGTGGGAGGGGAGGGGAGGGAACACTGCTAGATAGGTAGAGACAGGTATTGATTTTGGTGAAGAGAAGGGCAATGTACCAAATGTGAGTGATCAACACACTTCCTCTTAAAGAAGAGGAAGACAGAGAGAGATGCATGGGAGGTACAGACAACAAAGATGAACCCTTTTCACATATAGTACTGCATTGTTGGTGAAGGCAAACATTGATCTACGGGTGGATAGATGGGTAGACAGGCTGAACTATTAGGTATGTCTATGCAAGGGGGAGGAGCTCTGGTAGCATAGTGCTTAAGGTACTTGACTGCTAACCAGAAGGCTGGCGGTTCAAACCCACTAGCCACTCCTTGGAAGGAAGGTTGGGTAATCTACTTCGTAATGATACCACCTGAAACCCAAGGAGGGGTCGCTATGAGTTGGGCCCATCTTGGTGGCATATAACAACAACAGCAACAACAAGGCAGGAGGTGTGTGCCCATGACCATTTATAGGGTTGGCATACAATGTTTCTACAAGTGTATTGGTATGTTCTGTAAGAATTCCCAGGTATATAGTAGAGCTGACAGGGGACAAGGTTGTAGTCACTTCTTGGCCACAGCCACCTATCTAGAGGGAGTGAGTAGTTGGACCTGTGGGCTCAGGACCACAGTTGCAGGGGACATCAAGCTCAACTGGCATAACATACTACACAAAAACATTGTTCCACCTCCTACTTTGGTGAGTAGTGACTGGAATCTTAAAAGCTTGCAAGGAGCCATCTAGATGCAATGATGGGTCTCTCCTTTTCCAGAGGAAAGAAGAATGAAGAAAACCAAAGATGCGTGGAAACAATTAGTCAAAGTGACTGGTACACCATGCGATTCTCAGCCTATACGACTGTGAGACCAGAAGAACTAGATGGTGCCCAGCTACCAATGTCAGCCACTATGAGGGAGATCTATGTAGGAGATCCTGGATAGAATGAGAGAACAATATAGAATTAAACTCAAAATCATTAAAAAAAA